GCTGCGCGGGGAGGTTTAGGGTCAGGTAGAAGGCTATAACCCTCAGCCCTGACCACTTCGTGCTTTTCCCTAGCTCTTGGTTACTACATCTTCCGAAGAGCCAATTCCCAGAAGAACACCTTCCGAAAGAATCCTTCTGACCCCAGAGTGGCTGGTGAGCTGGGTTCCCGGGCTGCCATGAGTGAAGGACATGAGTCAAGGACAGCTGGACTTCCAGCAGTCCCCCCGCCCCCTCATTCCCTGTCTCTCCCCAGGCCTTGAGACCATCCCCACGGCCACGGGGCGGCAGCTGCTGGTGTCTGGGTGGTGGGGTATGGTCCGCCACCCCAACTACCTCGGGGACCTCATCATGGCTCTGGCGTGGTCCTTGCCCTGCGGTGAGCGGCTCGGGTGGGCACAGGGCGGGCACCACGCGTGCGAGGGGCAGAGATGGTGAACACAGGAGGCCCAGTCTGGGTGTGGAATGCAGAGCAGGGGTGCGCCCCGGTGGAGGGAGCCGTCAGGGAGCTGGGGATGGACTCAGTGGCCGGGGCCGACCTCCATCCAACCTAAGCTGTGCCAGCGCCTTGCTGCAGACCTGGACCTTTCACCATAGAGCCCCGGGGTCCCCGTGAGCCAGTGGGTGTGGAAACCTCTGTGAACTGGGGCGGGGAGGGGGGGCGCTGCTGAGGGATCACAGCCTCCCCTTCCCCACAGGGGTGTCTCACCTGCTGCCCTACTTCTACTTCCTCTACTTCACGGCGCTCCTGGTGCACCGGGAGGCCCGGGATGAACAGCAGTGCCTACAGAAGTACGGCCTGGCCTGGCAGGAGTACTGCCGGCGCGTGCCTTACCGAATCCTGCCCTACGTCTACTGAAGCAGCTCCACCGACCCCGGGTGGGGGCACGTGCCCACCCGCCCGTCAGCGCACCCAGCACCAGGAGCCTGGACCCCTCCCCTGCTCTGAGCTCCCACAGGCAGGGGTGAACAGCCTCAGGGAGGCGCTCCGGAGAGAGGAGAAATGAAGCCAGTGCCCCCAAAATGGGGGGGTGGAGGGGCTGCTCGTCCTCCTCGGATAAACATCTGGAACCCTTGGTACCACTTCTCTCCCTTTCTGGGGTTAGGGTGTTTAAAAACCGGCTGGGTCAGCTCTGATCTGGGAGAAGCTGAGAGGTGGTTTGTGGGCCCCAGGGGTGGGGGAGGGGAGAGGGGGTGGGACAACAGCTGTTACTCAGAAATGGGCACCGCTGCCAGGGCAGACCAGTCGCGGCTTTATTCATGACAAAGAGATCCCAGTTCAGCCAGGGAGTTCCTCAATGAGAATTCTTGGAGCAGGTGGCAGGGGGCCTCCCCAAAGCCGCTCCAACTCCCCAGTGAGGGCTGCCACCTCCTCGGCGGCCACAGCGTGGGCTCGGTGGGCCCTGGCACAGTCTAGAGCCAGGGGCGTGAGGGCCACCTCATTTTCATTGGTCCAAGCCAGCAGGAACTGGCACTTCTTCCGCGCCCGGTAGAGGCGATCTCGCTCTTCGGTAGCCACAGCTTGCCTCCGGGCCTGGCCCAGGGTCCGCGCCAGGTGCCCCAGTGCCGCCAGCGTGTAGCCTTTCTGGTTGGCCGGGCCCTCGCCCATCAGGATGAGGGCGGCCTCGCGCATGGCGCCCCGTGTGCCCAGGGGCCCAGGAGGATGCTCGCCGGCTTCGAGCACCCGGGCTGCGGCCTGCAGGGCTTCCTCGGCCGAGGCGAAGACCTGCTGCGCACCCAGGGCGCCGGAAACGCCGAGCAGCGTGGCACAGAAGTCGGAGAGCAGGGCGTCGTCGCCGCCGCCGTGATACAAGGCAAGAGCGTGTGCGTAGGCGAACAGCACGTTGGGCAGCTGGAAGCGCACGAGCGGCGAGGCCGGGCCACGGCTCAGGCTGGCCAGCGTGGGGATCCGGGTGGGCACGGTGGGCGCGCAGGCCTCGGGGGCGTCTCCGAGAAATGGCTCGGCGGCGGCCTCCTTCACGGGTTCCGGTGGCGCCCTCGCGGGGGTGGGCTCCAGCCCCACGGGGTCACCGCCCGCAGCATCGCCCACCTCCTCCAGGAGCCGCGGCCCGGCCCCGCGTCCCCACCACCACGGCCGCCATGGGGGCAGCAGCCGCCCGGCCTCGCCCCGGCTCAGCAGCCGCTCGAAGGCCGCCTTCTCGGCCGGGGCCAGGAGCTCCCAGAGCCCCGAGAGGCCGCCGGGCGCCGGGCCAGGCCTGAGGCCTGCGTCCTCCGGGTCGTCCTCGGTCTCGCGTTGCTCACGCAGGCGCCGCAGGGCGCTGGCCAGGCGGCTGGGCGAGGCGCTGCGGCCGCGGAGCTCCCCCAGCACCTGGTCCCGGTAGAAGTCTTCGGCGCAGGTGCCGTGCGCCCGGTAGCAGCGCAGCGAGCAGTAGGGCACATTACAGCGAGGGCAGGTGTAGCGCGCTGGTTGGGCCTCCCCCGCCGGGCAAAAACCGCACGGCCCGGCCGGCTCCATGGCAACCGGCGCCCGGTGCCACTCGCGAACACGCGCAGGCGGCGCGGGGCGACTTCCGGCGCTAAGCGGTTGCTTCCGCCTCCAAGGGAGGCCAACGGGGCGTAGCCAAAGCTCCCGAGGACTCTCGGCAACTTCCGCCCACACTCGGGAGCCACCCCACCTCTCGGTCAAGTAGGGCTCGGGCAGGCGCTGGAGAGGGTTCCTGACGCACAAGCCCGGCCTGAGCGGTGAGGAGGAAGCGCAAGCGCGCTCGGCGGGAGCTCCGCTGGTACCAGCTCGCCCCCTAGTGGCTCCCTTTTTGGCACCAGAAAGCGCGGTGGCGGAAAATCATCCTCGGCGAGGCACCTACTCTAGGCTGCTAATTGCCCCAGGCCCTCGGGGGATGAGATGCGTCCCTGCGCTGGGAGGGTAGCCATTCTAACTAGGGGACACAAAGCGGAATAGAAAAAGAATGAAGATAGATTACTTGGCCTACAATGTGTGTGTGTGTGTACACGTTGGAGGCGTTTCCCCTCTGGAGAAGAAAGCAATTTTTAAGACTGAACTTGTTTGATTCCCCCTCCTAATCTGTGGTTTATCCAACTTTTAAGGGCAGAATCCATAGCAGGTTCCAAAATCACATTGAGGGGCGGAGATGTGGTCCCTGTCCTAAAGGAGCTTATTTGTGGTAGAGTGGGCGTGATAACCCACACAAACCGTGGCAAGTGTCTTGAAGACCATCCATGGCACCCATCAAAGTGAGCTCTGGTTCTTTAGCCCCTCACCTCCATCTAGTCCCAGCCTCAGTAAGTTGTATTTATCTCAACGTGGATCACTTCTTTCCCTACCAAGATCTGGATGCATTTGAGGACCTTTGAGTCTGCTCTTTCTCTCCATCCCCACGACCACTGGTTTAAGCTACTGGTCCCTTAACTGGTTTCTGTTCTTGCCAGCTGTCCGGAAAAATCAGGCAGAGAAAGTACTGGATCACAAGTCAGATCACATCAGGCACTTGCTTAAAACCTTTCCCTGTACTCAGGCGACGTTCCACTGGCACTTGGACTCAAACCCAAACTCCTCCATGTTAACAATACCACATAGCTTTGCACACAGTTCTCCTGGCTGGAACTCTGGTCATCTCACTTGACAGGTTGCTTTAGGCGTCACACATCCCATCTTCAGAGCCCTTCCCTATGATGTTATGTCCGCCCACCACCCCCTGCCCCTCTTTCATTACAACACCCTGCTTACTTTCTTTGAGGCTCTAGCACTTGAAACTAACTAGCTTCTGCACTTAGCCCAGGAGAATCCAAACTCCTAGAAGGGAGGGGACGTCTTTTTTCTAGAAAGATTACTAGAGATAAAAATAGCCAATATACTTGCACACTTTCTATGTGGCAAGTACTGATCTCAGTCTTTCACATCCTTTATTAGTCTCCACAGCAACTCTGATGATGACGGAGATTAAATAAGTAGTTTGTCAGTCAGAAAACAAATGCAGCGAGGATTAAAACTCAAGGCAGTCCAAGTCTAGATCCCGAGGTCTTTACCTCCTGTTATACTGTATTCCAAGAACAAGCAGATTGAAAAACCTTATCAAAACAAGTGGGTACCCACATAGCTAAGGGACCTTGAAATGAATCCCAGAGAATTCCGCTTCTGGGAACACAGAAACAACCCACCTGACCTGTGATTAAGGGAGCAAAGTTACACAATGCAAAGTAATCAGGCAATGCTTTCTGTACAAGCCGCTTTTGGGCAACAAACAGGCCCATCCGATGACCCAGCTCAAAATATCCATACGTCTTGGCTGACCAATGGGCTACTTGCAACCAGGCACAGGTACCAAAAAAAGAAAATTCCATACAGTCCCCTACCTCCTCACCTTATCCCAGCCCTCCCTCCCTTGCACTGTGTTCAATAAACTTCTATCTCCTTTGTTCTGCCTGGGGTGAATTCTTTACACTGCTTTGCCCAAGTCACTGGCCTCCACCCAATCGGGTCACCCCACCTTTCTAAAGTGGGGACAGGCCAGACCCTTGCCAAGGACTCCACTAAGGCCATACATAGCTGGTCCCATCTCCAAGGGAAGGTCAGAATGGCCCTCCTGATAGATCTACTATTCAAACCCCTCTCCTTTACCACGGCCTCCATAATCCTCCCACGATTCTTGCCACCTTCTGTTTAAAGAACAACAAAAAAGGACTCGGGAGAATTACCGAGTTATTTTCACGGCAAGCCTCTTCTTGTAGTTTATCACTTTTTGCCCATGCCAGCCCAAGGGTCCCTGCCTCTTCCAACCAGACGGTGCCAAGAAACTAATGAGCACACCACCGACCCTGGGAGCCACGTATCCTCCCGAAGCCCTGCAAGTGAAGGTGAAACTATGACATGTCTGGACTAAGTGGCTTTATTGGGGAATGCCAGGATCACGACAGACTTAAGAGTTGGCATTGGGGCCCTTCTTCTTCCCAAAGGTGGGCACAACGTTGACAAAGCGCCGGTTGTACTGCATCCGCCGCTTGGCACGACCTGTCTTCTTCTTCTTCTTCTCCTGCTTGGCCACCTGGGCAAAGGAAGGAACGATCAGACCCAGGTTGACCTCTTCCATGCCTTCCCTCGGCCCAACTCCAGGAAGAAGGCAGACAAGAGGAAAGGCCAAAGGTCTCGGCTTAACTTTGATAGAAGGAAAACAAAACAAAACAAATTCCGAACACCACCACCAATACCCTCACCTACCTTGGGAGTCTGCCCTCTTACTTTCCCAGCACGGGCCAGGGAACCATGGACTTTACCTGCGATGGTAAAGGACAGCCAACAGTCAGGGGAGCAACAAGGCCCCACCCAGCAGAATCCTCTCTCTCTCTCTCAATTCAAGCCTTTATAGGGTCTAATAAATGACTAAAAAGAGAACTAGGCTCTGGCTCAGTCTCCCACGGACCTCTCAGGAGTTCCTTCTGAGGGAGGTAAACAAGAACCACCCTGGATTGAGGACAATGAACTCCACACCCCACACTCGTTATGAGCTTACAAACAGTTCAAAGGACAATCCTCCCCAACTCACCTCCAAGCATGCGGCCGGCTACTTCCAGGGTGGTCAGAGCCTCCCTCCCTTTACTGACCCAGAATGGCCTCATCTTCAGGCGTGTGCCGCCAGGAGCCTGACAGTCTTCCAGAACATGCCCTCCAGAGAGGCTACATGAGCCTACCGGGAAAAAGAAGATTCGTCAGCGTTCCCGAGGGAGAGGAGATTGGGGAAAAAAGAAAAAAAAAAAAAGAGGATGAAGCCCAGGAAGCACCAAGCAGCCTTACCTTGATCTGGGCGACCGTCTCTTGGCCGGTCACCTCGAGGGTGTGTAGCTCCTGGGCGCGGACAAAGAGCTGCATGTCGGCGACTGAAGAAAGAAAGGCTTGTATGAGAAACAATGCTCTAGAGGGGTCGGAGGATGGGTGGTGGGCCGGGGCCGATCGCTCTGGGATTTAGGTGGTCGCGGGATCTCACGTGGGTAAGGCCGGGCCTTTCAGGGAGGTCGGGCGGGGAACAGAACTTGGCCCTCAGAACAGCCCCTCTGCCTCTACTTTTCCCGTGCCCTCTGATCTCGCGGCCAACCTGCTGTTAAGCTCCTCAGATCCAGCGGGGACCCAAATCTTACCTGAACTACGGCCACCGCAGCCGCAACCACGAAGATGGAGTCGAGAAAGAGGAAGGAGGAAGGGCGCGCACGTCCTCACCGCCTGCTGCGCGCTACGTCACTGCTGAGCGACCGCGAAGGTCTCTGGTGTTTGTACGGCCCACCGCAGTCCTAGCTCCGCCTCTTTACGCTTTGCGCAGGCGTTCTTTCGGTCCGGGGCGGTGCGCTCCCGAAGGGGCGGAACCAGGCCGGTTGCGCGCGCAGAGGGCCAGTGTACGGGAGCGGTGCAAGATGGCAGCGTCCTTGTTCCGAGCTTCGCTGAGGGGCTGGAGAACCGGCGTCCAGCCGGGCTGCGGGCTACGGTGGCTGGTGAGGGCGCTGAGCCTGGAGGTGGGGGAAGAGGGCTGCGTGTGAGTCTGGTTGTTACTCCTGTAACCCTGGAGCTCACATACAAGGTTGAGAGGCAAGGTGCAGGGCTGACAACGCGCCCCTGTGTGTGGGGCTTGGAACCTGATTGGTGGACAGCTCGGGTTGGTCAGAACTGGGAGAGGCTACACATCAACGCTTGCTGCCTAATTTTAAAAAGGGATAGCCGTTTCACAGGGTAGGGGTCGGCCCCAGATCTTTGGCGACACTTAGGGAACCTGGGGTTCATGATATACAGGCCACTTCATTCTGCTTGTAACCCCGGGGCCCATCGGGATTCCAGGATTATCTGTTGGAGGATGGAGAGACAGCGGAGAGTTACCTTAGGTAGACTGTTTATTAATGTCTTAATTTTTCCTAGATGGAAAAAGGGGGTAATAAAATACCTTACTGTATCATTGTAGGAATTAACTCAAAACAATACCCATAATACATTAAGTCCAATGCCTGGCGGTGTTTATATGAGGCCAAAACGTTCCAGGTAAGCGAGGGTCATGTCAGATGATTGTGAGTGGCATTATCAAGATTGCTGAAAGTGCCTCATCCAGAACTAGAATATTTCAGCAGGATGTTTAGACGAAACGTTAAAATCCTGAAAAATGCTGTATTGGTCAGACTGACAGTGATTTGGCTTTGGGTTTTGAGTCCCACAGAAATCCCAAGAGAGGCAGATGCTTCAGAGTGCCTGAACTTCTTTTCCAGTCCTACCTCTACCCTGGCAAACTGAAGTCTGATGCTTTGCTACCTCCAGTCTTTTATTTATCCCAGTCTCTGCACCTGTAGTGTTTCTACCTACTGAAGTTCTGCCTCTCCTGTGGTGGGTGGGTGTATGGTGGCTGGGCCAGTAGAGCAACGGTTGTTTGCTTTTGATTTTGGCCGCAGAGCCAGACCCAGGGGCCTCCTGATTACCCCAGCTTTGTGGAGTCTGTGGATGAATACCAGTTTGTGGAGCGCCTGTTACCCCCTACCCGCATCCCGAAGCCCCCAAAGCATGAACATTATCCCACTCCTAGTGGCTGGCAGCCACCCAGAGGTGAGCTGGGTGATGGGGATGGCTTGGAAGCTACAGGGAACCCCCCCCCCCCCAGTGGTGTACTTCCCCAGCTGAGGCTCTGGATTCCCCAGTGGGTTCAGGATTTGTGTTGAGGGCACTCAGGGCCCAGCACCTATCTCATGTTCAAGGAGGGGCCTGGGAATGCAGCCCTGTTTTACTAGTACCCATCCATCAACGCTGTTGGGATGAGGTCTTCCCATTCAGGAACAGTGAAGCAAAGAGAGAAGACCCAAGAGCTGGGACCTCCATGCCCCGACTCCAGTAGGCCTCGTACCATAATTGAGAACATAGCTTGGGAGTTGGGCAGTGCTGGGTTCGAATTTGGCTCTGTTATTCATTGCCAGCGTGATCATTAGTCACTCGGTTTCTCAAAATGGAGATAATCTGCTCAGTATATAAAGCACTTAGCACAGAGCCCAGCATGCGGTAGGTAGGTGTTCAGTGCTTGTAAATCCCCATTTGTGCCAGAGATTCTTTGTGCCAGGGGAGAAGTGCAAGGATTGGCCCCAGATGAGGATCCAGGGAGGCATGGCCCTAACTTCGTTTCTTCTTGAGCACCTTCTGGTGCCAGGCCCTGTGTTGGGCCTGCGAGATTACCAGGGTGAACAACCTGGCCCTGGCTCTAAACTTAGGGAAAGAGCGGGTCTTCTGATCTGAAATCTAGAGGTGGCTTTGCCATTGGGTGCACTGACTCTGTGTAGACTGTGAGGGGAAGGGTGTTGGCTAAGGTGGCATAAAGCCTGGGGAGGTTTGACTTCTCACTGTTCCTGTCGCAGACCCCCCACCTAACCTGCCCTACTTCGTGAGGCGCTCTCGTATGCACAATATCCCTGTCTACAAGGACGTCACACATGGCAACCGCCAGATGACTGTGATCCGAAAGGTGGAGGGGGACATCTGGGTAAGCGAGGGGATGGGTTAGGGCCCGGTTCTGACCTTTTCAGGGCTGAAGGATGGGGAGTCTACTAGAGGGGATGGTCTGACCGGGCTTGATTTGTCCTCTCTCCACCTAGGCCCTGCAGAAGGACGTGGAAGATTTTCTGAGTCCACTGCTCGGGAAGACACCAGTCACCCAGATCAATGAGGTGACAGGTACCCTGCGGGTCAAGGGCTACTTTGACCAGCAGCTCAAAGCCTGGCTCCTGGAAAAGGGCTTCTGAGGCCCACCCGAGCAGCCTACCTGACAGCGTTCCCCACAACTAGAGTCTGGGGAAGGGGCGGGCCAGGAGGGAGATGGCTGAAGGACCAACCAGGACAGCAGGTATAAATGGCAGGGCTGAGCGCATAGACGGGTTAAATGAGGGCTGAGGGCTTCAGAGCAGGCCTTGCTCACAGTAAGGGGGAACGGGACCCTCTACACAGGGGCCAGCACTGGGGGCGGGCTGTCTGACATTGGACCCTACCTTCATTGGAGCTCACTGGGCTCAGCTCTTCAAATTCTGGAGGTTGCTGACTGCCCCTCTGGGGGAATAGCCCAATCCAGTTCAGGGCAGGGTGGCACAGGGCAAACGCCCTGAGCACCTGCCTTCCTTGGCCCTCAGACCCTCACTACCACAAATACCCTTAAGCCCTTGCTCCAGGCCAGACCCAGCTTGGTGGAGGCTACGGAGGACACAGGGAACTCAGGCGTGGGTCCTAGAGGTCTTCAGTTCCCAGCGCAGTCCTGGGCATAGGCATAAAGCACCCACGTCAGCCCCTTGGCTCGTTCTTTTCACCCTTGGAGAAGGCGGCCCAGTGGCCTTTGCTCCATTCTAGGCCAGAGTTGGGCGTGACTAGGTTTCTAGCTCCAGGAAGCTAAGTGATTAGCTTTAGCTGGTCTGTCCACGAGGGGGTGCTTGGGAGATTCTAGCGGTCCAGCGCAGAGCAAGCCATCCTTGCCAGCTTCCTGACCTGGTGTCAGGGGTGGTCAGGGCCTTTGCGGGAAAAAATATGCTGGCCTTCTGCCCCTGTCATCATTCCCATCCCACTCTGGGCCCGTGGGCCTTCACACTTGCCCCGTCCTTGGGAGTTCTAAAAGCTTAACTCTCTGGGGCTTGGTTTCTTCATCTGGAAAATGGAGATACTGTTGTAATGGTTTAATGTCTAAAGAAACCATCACCCCCCCCCCCCCCCCCCCCCCCCCCCCGGGATTCTCCAGTCTAGAGCCTGAGCAAGAAGACCACTCCCGGCACACTGACCCCATGACACTAGCTCCACCGGTCATTAATGCAAGTCTTTATTTGGCGGTATATACAATTTGAGCTATTAAAATGTGTACAATATTTACAAATTAAATAATCATCTGAAACGGTCTCCAGCAACTCTTGTAACACAAAACCAAGGGAGAAAGAGACAAGGGCAGGCAGGCCTCGGCTCCTGTGGTCCCTACCTGGCCCAGTGCCTTTTCTAAACTGGAAAGACCAGGAGTCTGACACTCCTGCTCCTCTTTCCTAGGGTCAAGCATTCAAGTTCAAAGACAAAATTTAAGCCAAGAGACAACGGCAAGGAAGTAATTCCAATTCTTCTCAACTCAAGAAAAGTTCTGTAAGTTGAGAAGTGGCCTTCCACAGATTCTGGGGCTTGCAGTGGTTCAGGGGCAGACACACGAGCCCTCAGCCTGGAGTGAGGCTGGGCAGTGGTTGCTGGGTGAGACCAGGAAGTCTCACTTTAGACAAACTGCAGGGAGAGGGGCGTGGACACCTCAATGCTGCCCACCTGCTCGGCACTCCTTTCCCAGAGCTGTGCGGTTGCCACTAAGACGCGGAAACACCACAAGGCGTAAGTGACACAGTCACCGTCACAAAGAGCTTCTAGGGAGTTTAGGGGAAGAAAAGGGAAATCAGTACCAATCTTGGTGGGTGGCCCAGGAAGCAAGTTCCTGGCCTGCCTCCAGCTCCTGAAGTTCACACGTGGGATTGGGGAGCTAATACTGTTCAGCACTGAAGCGACTTCACACACACACGCACACAAGTGGGCTTAGAAGGGCTGCCCCTTCTCCCAGAGCGGGGTAGAGGGCTTCTCAGAGACCGCCTTTCTGCCTTCACGGCCCCAGCAGAAAAGGGTGACGGGTTGGAAAGAAAGGCTGGGACTGACCCGAGATCCCCGTGGCTGCCGGGGACTGAAAGGGCTGGAGTCAACTGGGGCCTCAGGCTTCTTTCCACTCGGCCTAGGGGATGCCACCTCCTTTGTCTCAGAGCTGGGGGTTCTTACTCCCTGGTGCACACAGAGGGAGCTGGCACTTGGTGGCAGGACACGTTACAGCGAGGGCTGCTCAAGAGAGTGGAGGCAGGAGTAGGACTGGGGTCGTGTCAGTGGGCAACAGGGGACTCCAACTTCTGCAGGCGGCGGCGGCGGAGCTCTGCGGCATCAGGCTCCCCGTCCTCAGGCAGCTCCTCCGTGCCCACGGACTCGGGAGCTGGGGACAGAGTTCGGAAGTGGAAACCAGAGAACTTCCCTCCCAACCCCCACCCCCTCCCCACGCTCGCCCAGACTACCTGGAGGCTTGTCAGGTTCAGGGGCCGGTGGGGAGTCTCCTGGGGATGGGGTGGTGGCCTCCGAGCTGGGGATGCCGGTGGGGGTGGCAGCAGTGACGACTCCAGGGGTCTCCTCAGTGGGGCTGACTGAGGCGGCAGGCCGAGGGGGCCTAGGAGAGAAAGACGAGGGAGGTGAGGCCTGGACACGTTGGCATGATTGAGAAGATTCTGCCCTTGGTGAGCCTTGCAGGGTGGAGCCCGCACCTCTGCAGCCTCAGTCTGCAGCAGACGCGAGCGAGCGTGTGTGAGTTCTCGGGATTTCATACTACAGACTAAACTACTTGCGGGCAAGAATCGTTGGCCTGTTCGCTGGTAAACGGCGGTCTCTAGCGGGGCGCCAGGCTCCTCACAGAGTTCCCACCTAAGATTTTCCACTGAAGAAAACCGTATTCAGGTTGCTCAGACTCAAACTCCCCTCCAAGCCTGTGCTCTGTGCGCCAGACACTCTGTGTGTGTGACCCGTGAAGAGGAGCTAGGACCCTTCTATTCAATTAAAGTGACAGTGGTCACGAAGCAAATGAGTGGTGGGCACCATAACTTACACTTAGGCCAGGCTGGTTCTGGGTGACTTTTTGGGGGCGGGGGGAGGGGAAGTGCAGATGGAGGGCGAACAGGATTTGAAGTGGCCTCGGTGCTGACCGCAGCAAGCCCAATGCAGGGCTCGAACTCACGAACTGTGAGATCGTGACTTGAGCTGAAGTCGGACGTCTGACTGAGGCACCCAGGTGCCCTTGGGTGACTTACGCGCGGTCTCAGATCAGGGGCAGTGTTTCCCGGGCACAGAGTCACCACACGTGAGAAAGGTATATGTGATGAGCTAAAGCGCTGACGATTATGAGTGAACTGACTACAGAAAAATATAAAGGAGCAGGATTCGAAGTCAACTCTCTGGTAATAATAAACACCAGCTCTCCTGAGACCCAGGCAGGCCCCCTGGAGCGAGAGAACAGAGGCATCGAGAAACCCAGAGATCCTGCTGCGCCTACACACAGGTGACGTGAACCAACAGGCATCACAGGGTGGCCGAAGAGAAGGGGCCGGGGCCGGGGGCCTCGCTGGCAGCTCCAGGCTGCCGCCATGCGCGCCGGCCCGCGTGCAGACATACCCCAGGGAGGCCAGCACGGTGAGGTACTGGTTGATCTGCAGCATGGCGGCGTCCAGCAGGGTGTGGATGTTGCGCAGGCTCTGCAGCCGAGCCTCCAGGTGTTGCCGCTCGTGGCCCTCCAGAGCCCGCAGCTCCTCCGGAGTCAGCCCAGCAAAGCCCGCGGGGGGCACGGGCATCGGGGGGAAGGCTGGAGGGAGGCAGAGGCTCAGCCGGGGCGGCCTGGGCCCGACGCCCAAATCCCTTCAGATCAACCCCGAGGGCGGCTGGGTTTACCAAAGGGTGGAGGCAGTGGCATGCCCATCCAGGGTGGAGGGAAGGGGAAGCCCGGAGCGGGGCCGGCCTCGGGGGCAGGGGCAGAGCCAGGTGCCGAGGCGGAGGCGGAGGAGGCGGCGGCAGCTGTGGTCGTGGCTGCTCCGCTGGGCCGAGAAAGGGCTGGTACAGAGCGAGAACAGGAAGTTGGTGAGAGCTGAGGCCTCGGCTCTCCATTCCTCCCGCCCCCTGGCCGTCACAGTAGCCAAAAGACTCACCTGCACTAGTGGGCGGAGGGGCCACAGCCTCTCCTGAGCTGGGGGGAGGCGGGACGGGTGGAAAGGGGCCCATGGGGGGCCACAGCGGGAACATGCCTGGAGGAAAGGGAGGCAGGAGGCCCTGGGGGACTGCAGAGAGAGGACGAGGCAGTGAAGAAAGGTCCGGAGTGAGATAGCTCCGAATCACATGTGAGAGACTGATTGTTAGGAACTCTGTCCCTGCTCCCACGGGCCTCTCTGAGCTCAGCACTGATGACATGTGACTTCAGTCCACGGAGGTCTCTTTCTATGACCCCCTCCCCTATCCAGACTGAGCTTCTGGAGGATTCACCTCCGTGTTTCCCCTACCCAGCTCCGGGCAAGTACTCAACAGTGTGTTGGACGGCCAAACGAGGGGGCCACTCACAGTTAGGGGGCTGGGGCAGCAGTGGTGGGGGGTGAGGAGCAGGTGGTGGCCCCTGATCCGCAGGTTCAGGGGGTGGTGGTGACTGGGTCGGCAGTGATGCCCGAAGGACGTCCATACGGCAGGTAGGGCAGGTCTGCTGCCGCTGGAACCAGGAGCGCAGGCAGCTGGGGGTCAAGAACAGGCGACGGTCGGCAAGTCCCCAGGAGCCTGCCTTCCAGAGCCCATCCCCTGCAGTCAGGCTCCCCGGGCCCCTCCCACCTGGTATGGAAAATGTGGTTGCAGGGCAGTCTCTTGGCGCCAGTCACCATCTCTTCTCGGCAGATGATGCAGACGTTGTCCGTTGCCTGGAGCTCCTCCGGGGTGGCATCTGGATACCTAGTTAGGACAGGCCAAGGGTATGTCCAGACCGGAACTGGAGACAGAGGAACCTGGGGCGGAGCTAGGGAGAGCAGCTGGACCGACCCACTTACAGCGTGTTCATGTTGCGGATGGCTCGGCGAGACATGATGGCGTCTGTCACGGCCTTCTTGAACTGCCTGAAAGGAGAGTTGCAGTGAAAGTTGGGTGAGGGAGAAGAGTCAGGTGTGGGGCAGGGGCAGGGGCAGGACGGGCTGGGCTGGGCTGAGCTGGGCTTACCTCATGGCCAGGTACATAGGCCGGATGGCAAAGAGAGGGAAGGTGTGCACCTTGATCATGATAGTCATGAAAGCCATGTACAGCAAAACCTTGATGAAGCCTGGGGGGCAAGGGGAGGTGCAGAGAGCAGCAGTCACAGGGCCTGGGAGGCAGGGCTGGGGACGCTGGTCCAGGTCAGGGGAGGCCCAGGCTCTTCTCACCTGTAAACAGCTCCGTGTAGAGCATGTACACGGCCTTATTGTCCCAGGGGTTCTCGCTCTGGAGGTCCACGGAGTGCAGCACGTACTTGATGAAGATGGTCAGCACCATAGTCATCAGGATAGCATACTGGAGGGAGGAGGGGGCGCGGGGACCTAAGCACACGACGCCTCCTTGCTCTGGTCACCCTTTGCCACACCCAGGCCGCTACAGCAGAGTGCAACGACGCAAGCGTGGTACTGGACACAGCTGGGGTCTTCCGAGCGCCTGCACTCACTAGCTGGTTGGACTTCTAGCGGCTCACCAGACCTCTCAGAACATCAGACACTTTGCTTGTCTGCCAAGTGACGGCATTAAATGTTCCTTAGTGACTACGTTGCTTTGCTGATTAAAAGACGCAGCCAGTGCTCAGCAGGGGGTCTAGCGTACGGTGAGCTGCTATCGCTGAACACCCCTCCCCAGCTGTCCATCGAGCTAAGTGCTTCCGTCCCAACGACAGCCAGCTCCTCTGGCGTCACCTTCCAGGAGGCCTTCCCTGAGCGTCGGGTCAGGGCTCCCCCAACACACACGCCTCTTTCTGTGCCTCCCCCGCTCTCCTAGGCGTGAGAGCGCACGAGGCGGGAGCGGAGACTGACGGCTGCTCCTTGGTGGCCTGCACGGGCCTGGCCACAGAACAGGTGCCCAGGGAGGGGCTGTTGGGTTATTCGAGGCACACTCAGAGGCACCTCAGGCTCGTCCTCCCCACCTCCCGAGCCAGTGTTACCTCAAAGCCAAACACCAGCTGCACAGAGGCCCCACGGGTCAGGATGCTGTGATAGGCATGGCTGACGAAGAGGAAGTCCAGGATACCCAGGAGGAACATAAGGGCTGTGGGGACCCCCCAAATAGGGGGTTGGTGGGGTCAGCCCAGGGACTGACAGCCACTTCCCGCTTTAAGACACCTCCCACCCTCAAGCCCTAGCCATCTAGTCAGGTGGCTTGACCCCGGCCCCCTGGGAGCTCCAGTTTTGCCTAGGAGGGTTTTAGAGCAGCCCAAGTTCCAGGTGAGGAGGCAAAGAACTGAGGGGCTGGACAGTTGAAAAGCCCTGGGGTGGAACAGGGCAGAGATGATGCAAATTAACTTCCCAAATTATCTTTCCTGTACAGCTGCGGGTCGAGGGGGAAGCCTGCGCTCTACGGCACGGGTCCGCAGTTCGTGACTTATCACGTTCCAATCCTCCACAGAGCCTCTTACTCCCTCCAGCTCCCTCCTCTCCCTTCCCATGGATCTCACTCACAGACGATGCGGCAGTGAAAGAGCCAGGAGATATTGGGGCTGCGTTCCATCTGAGGCAGAGCAGAAAGGGGGCCTGTCGGGAAGGCTGGGGCTCACCCCCCACCCCACCCCCCAGACTCCACTTCACAAGCCCACCTACCAAGCCACTCCCTGGCTCCCATCTGCTTTGAGAACCCCCTGACCCAACTCACAAAGTCCACACGGTCCTCAGCCAGCCAGTGGAAACACTTGAGGAAGAGAAGGAGAGTGAAGAGTGCAACAAAGCGGGGGCTGAAGTCGTCCCGAAAGACAGTGAAGGCCAGACAAGTCTCAGTGACGGCATACCAGGAACGTTCCAGAAGGTGCTGGGGATTGGGCAGAGAAAGACGAGGAATTCAAGACATTCTGCTTGCCCAGCTCCCTGGCCCTCACTTTTGGGAGTCGTGAACATCTTACCTCCATCTCTGCTGCCCTCAGCTGTCCAAAGAACACCTTGCCCATCACTTTGCCCAAGAGAAAGACAAGGACAAAGGCCTGGATGTAGAGGACCTAGGAGTGAGAAGAGGCTATGGTTTGAGGTCACTTTCTGTTCTGCTATGTCTGGGGCTCATGATTCCGGAACCTCCCTATGTCCCCGTCCGTCCCAATTCGTTCAAAGTTAGGCGGCTGGTGGCAGCTTCACGCCTCTCACGCTTACCTGACCCCCAGCTCCGCCCCTGTCTCAAGCAGACTCCTCCTTCCCTCCCAGGGAGCTCCTCCCACCCTGAGCCCTGAACTCACTGCCATGCTGGGGCTGGACTTGGTCAGGTACACCACGGTGGGGTAGAACTGGTGCTTGAGGTAGTAGGCATGAGCCACGACGGCCCCGGTCAGTGCCAGGCTGGCCGCCATCATCACTGCGGTGCGGAACATCGCTCCGGCCTGGAGACCTGCGTGGGGACAGGGAAGGAATAACCTGCGTGTTGCGCACACTGCGCAAACCCTGAACAGTGCCCAGCGCGCGATGTCACTAAACACCAGGGAGAGCCCCCCCCCACCTCACCTCTCCCACACAATCATGACGTCAAATATAGCAAACGCCCCCCGCCCCCTCATTTTACGAACAAGAAAATGGAGGCTCAAAAGGGTTAAGCGATCAGACTGACGCAAGGCCTGGAGCCTGGGTCAGTTTTGTTTCAAATCTAGGGCTCTTTCCACGCCGCCTGCCAAGCCACCGCCTCCAGGGAGGAACGGGGAAAGGCAAACGTGTTGCAGGAAGGAGAACTGCTACCACGGGCTCTACCGTGAAGGTGATGGAGAGGATGCAAACGCAGAAATCTCCAGAAGCGGTTACGTGCCGCCTGGACTCGGAGAAGCCAGGCGCTGGGGGGCGCAGCCGGGCAGGCGACAGCGCCGGTGACAGCTCGGCCGGGGTGCGCAACCCCGCCGCGCGCCCCGCGGGAGCGGGCGGGATACGTCAGCCTGGAACCCTGGCGTCCCCCACCCGCCGGGGCAATGTCCACTCGGGGCACCGGAGAAACGGCCGACTGGAGGGATGCAGCGGCGGCACGGAGAGGGACCCGGGTCGCCCCCGCACCTGTAAGCTCCGGGAGCTGCGAACGTCGCAGGTGGGGCCCAGCCAACGGAGAGCGGCCGCACGGGAGCCTGAGGTCTACCGCCAGCTGACAAGCCGCAAGCGGGGCTGAGGGGGCGCGTCGACCCCGGAGACCGCAAGGGGAGGGCCCAGGTCCCGACTCCAACCACAACCCGGGCCCCACCCCGGCCGACTCACCAGGAGCCCAGCGCCGCGAGCCCGCTCAATCCCCGCGACTGCGGAGGCGGCCCCGGTTAACAACACTCCCCACCCCCTGCGAGCCGGAACTTCGGGGGAGAGACACCTCACTTCCGGCGGGGCGCGGCGTGGGTCGTACCAAGTGCACCCTTCCTTTGGCCGCCCCGCGCACCGTCCGTGGTGCCGGGAGCGGTAGTCCCGCCACTGTATCTAGGCTTCGTGCCCACGGCCGGAGCTAAAGACGCGAGAGGTGGTCGGAGCGGAATAGGACAACCCGGGAGATAGTTGGAGTCCCCCCATCTATCAGTCAAAGATGGTATCGCCTCCGCCGCTGAGTGTACTCAACCTAGCGGAGGGCTCAGGCTCTCAAAGAGGCTGGAAGGTGGGGCTTCGTGTGGGCCGTACCACTTGGAAGGGGGAGTGTGCAAGGGACAAGCATTACGGGCTTAAGAGAAATAAAATGTTTTAGAGTCTCATTCCAGAAGGTTTCGCAACAACTTCACAAATAAGAGGCTTCCTTGGAGAACTGGGTTCAGAAAAGAAAAATTTGCTTCTCCGCGATCACCCCCGATTTGTGTGGGAGTGAGTTGGGTCCCCGTGGCTGCTACTAATTGGCCTAGATAGAGTTACGCGGACCAATAAGAAAAGGAAGGACATTTGCTGGCCTGTGGAAAGAGAATAGCAGGTGAGCGGTTGCTAGGGACGGAAGGCAGCGTTGCCTAGGTCTGGGTCCAACCCCAGTGGGCGGACAGCTGGCAGGGTTGGGGGGTAGGGGGGGGCGCAGTCCGTGGGCGGGTGATCTGTGTCTGCCCAGCGGGAACATTTGCTGCGCCACAAAAGGGAGGGGCAGCCTGATGTGTCTGGGATTAAGAAGGCAGACGTTTAATTCCGGCTAATGTTGGGATGGTGTTCAATGCAAAGGGATTGACTTCAGCTTCCCGGCGCCTACAGTTTTGCTCTCCTTGTGTTCAGCCCCGGGCCGTAATCGCAGCTACTACTGATCTTGGGCTGCGTAGTATTTGTTTGTGTCGCAGTCGCAGCCAACCCAGTCGGCTCGTTGACAGAATGAATCCGATACACCCAATTTGTGCCTTGCGTTGTCCTGCGTCGCATTCAACATCCAAGCACTACAGTTTATGAGCTAGAAGGTGCTATACTCATTTTGGACTTGGGACTGTTGATGTTCAGAGATTTAACAAGACCTGTCCTGGGATTGGCATCGGGTGTGTCTGATTCTAGATTCCCGTGCTGTTGGTTGGCCTCATCACCTTCACCACCTCCCCAACTGGCCTGACCAATTTAGCTGTCACAGAGTTGGCTCCCCCGCGAGGCCATCTATTACTTTCTAGTGACTAAAACCAATGGTCAGCTTTCGGTTCTCGCTTGACTAGATCTCTTTCCTCTTGTAAAAAGTCTCCTCCTTCAACTTCTGTGATCCCACAGGCCTCTGCTTTTCTCTCTGGCTGTACATCTGCCCCTTTCCTCCCTCTGTCCTTTTATTTAAATGTCGGTGTCCACGTTGGCCCCTTCTGTTTGTTTTGTGTACATAATGTCCTCTGCTCCTGTGGATTCCATTTTCCCCACCCAAGTGCTGATGACTCTCACGTCTGGTCTTTACTAGAATATCTCCTGTTTTTAAAACACTTCAGTGTCCCTAGTCATCCCCTCTTACCCGGCTCCGGAAACCTGGGCATCTCGTTCCCCTGTCCCTCTCCATCTGTCCCCACATCCCCACTGGTAAATAAGTCATTTATTCAGTTGTCTGCGAATATGTGTCAGATGCAACCTGTTCTAGGAACTTAGGATGTCCATGAACAAAACACAGATCTCTGCCTTTTTGACGTTTTATTCTAGTAAATGTGCTGGATGATAGACAATACGCATGATGTAAGTGAATTCTCTACTACGTTGGGAGGCAATGAATAATAAGTGCTCTAGGCAAAAAAAAAAAAAAAAAAAAAAAAAAAAAAAAAAAAAAAAGAGCAGAACAAAAGGGGGTCAGGAGTGCGGTAGGGTGCTTGAAGCAGGTTGCCCTATCAGTGAGAAGCTGGACAAAGACTTGAAGGAGGTAGAGGCGTGAGCCAAGTGGATATCTGGGTAAAGAGTTGCAGCTAGGTAAGAGTCGACCTGTCCTGGTTTGTTGGAGGACATGGGTGTGGCCAGAGTGGAAATAGCAAAAGGGTAAGGAGGAGGAGGAGGAGGCAGAACCAGATGGCATTAGCCATTACCAGGACTTTGGCTTTTACTCTGAGTGACATGAGGAGCCATGAGCAGAGATGTTGTAAAAGGCTCTACTTAGGTAAGAGGGTCACTCTAGCACCTGTGCTATTGAATGGAGTGGGGTTGCGGGCAAAGGTGAGAGCGGGGGTAAAACAGGAGGCTCTTACGGTATATTACTCAAGAGATGAAGTTCTGGGTGGTGGGGGCGGTGGGGGGGGCACCTGGCTGGCTCAGTTGTTTAAGCAGCCGACTTCAGCTCAGGTCATGATCTCGCGGGTTCAGGTCATGATCTTGCGGTCCGTGAGTTTGAGCCCTGTGTTGGGCTCTGTGCTGACAGCTCAGAGCCTGGAGCCTGCTTCCGATTCTGTGTCTCCCTCTCTCTGCCCCTCCCCTGCTCAGGCTCTGTCTCTCTCGCTCGCAAAAATAAATAAACATTAAAAAAAAGAGAGAGAGAGAGAGAGAAAGATGAAGTCCTGTTGAGTCTGCCTCCGAAGTGTTTCCATCGCCATCTCCTGGTCTTCTTAGTCCAGGCTGTCACCATCTTATGCCTGGTCCAGTTTAACAGCCACCCGACTGGTCTCCTTTCCTATTCTCTGCTCTCCACTTATTGCCCCTACAATGGCCAGAAAGATCTTCTGACACCTCCGTTCACGTCTTGTCTCCTCTCCCCACGCTCTGCCTGTCAGGCATATGCCCTATTTGTGGGGACCCCAGATGTGTCATGCGTATGACTTGTCCTGTTCCTGATCCAATAAGCGAATTTAGTAAGGTTACAGGATAGAAACTCAATGTACAGAAACCCACTGCATTTCTATACACCAATAATGAAGCAACAGAAAAAAATTAAGGCAGCAATCCCATTTATAATTGCACCAAAAATAATAAAGTATCTAGGAATAAACTTAACCAAGGAAGCGAAAGACTTGGACTCTGGAAACTACGAAACGTTGATGAAAGAAATTGAAGATGATACAAGTGGAAAGATATTTCATGCTCAGGGATTGGAAGAACAAATATTGTTAAAATGTCCATAGTACCCAAAGCAATCTACAGACTTAATGCAATCCCTATCAAAATACTGGTAGCATTACTCACAGAACTAGAACAAATAATCCTAAAATTTGTATGGAACCACAGAAGACCCCAAATAGCGAAAACAATCTTGGTAAAGAAAAACAAAGCTGGAGGCATCACATTTCCAGATTTTAAGTTATACTACAAGCTGTAGTAATGAAAACAGTGTGGTACTGACACAAAAATAGACACATAGAGGGATGCCTGGGTGGCGCAGTCAGTTAAGCGTCTGACTTTGGCTCCAGTCCTCAGGTCATGATCTCACCGTTTGTGAGTTTGAGCCCCGCCATCAGGCTCTCTGTCAGCACACAGCCTGCTTTGGATCTTCTCTCTCTCTCAAAAATAAACATTAAATAAATGGAAAGATATCTGATATCTATGGGTTATAGGACTTAATATTGTTAGACGGCATGGTCCCTAAAATTGATCTAAAAATTCAGCAGTCCCTGTCAAAATCCCTGCTGCCTTCATCGCAAAAATTGATGAGATCTTCAAATTCATGTGGAAATGCGTGAGACCCACAATAGAGAAAACATTCTTAAAAAGGAAGAAGAAAGTTGGAGTACTCATACTTCCTGATTTTAAAAACTTACTACAGGGGCGCCTGGGTGGCGCAGTCGGTTAAGCGTCCGACTTCAGCCAGGTCACGATCTCGCGGTCCGTGAGTTCGAGCCCCGCGTCAGGCTCTGGGCTGATGGCTCGGAGCCTGGAGCCTGTTTCCGATTCTGTGCCTCCCTCTCTCTCTGCCCCTCCCCCGTTCATGCTCTGTCTCTCTCTGTCGCAAAAATAAATAAATGTTGGAAAAAAAAAATTAAAAAAAAATAAAATAAAATAAAATAAAAACTTA